TCAGCCCGGAGGAGAGGACTCCACAGGTATATAATAGCCGTCTTCGAGCCTCTGGATTATCCTGTGGAAAAACGGTTTGGACTTCTTTTGCTTGGCCCCAGAAAGGGATACCTCGGAACAATGAGAAGTTGCAAAGAGACAGACTTTGTGTCCATGTAAGGGCAAATATTCTAGCGATTAGACCTGTCTAAAAGTAGAAGAAGCTGCCTTAGGAAGGGGGAGGGGGCTCCCTGTCACTTGAAGTCTTCAAGTAGGGGGTGGACGTGAGGGTGAATGACCACTTTCTGAGAATGCTGTAGAAGGGAATCTCAGCCAGGAATGGATTGGACTAACTGTCCCTCGTGTCCTTCGCGGTTCTCAGATTCTGATGCTCTGAATTGAAGGGGAATATGTTGGGAGAGAACTGCAGCTCTCTTTGTCTGCCATCTCTCCAATACCCTCATATTGACTTCCTCCTTGCTTTTTCCTCCCAAAGCAGTGGGGAGTCAGAAAGGGGTTGTATTCTGAAATCTACCAATCCATGATAACATCCTATGACTTCCTATTGTCAAAAGTTGGGCCAACCCTAATCTTTGCCTCTTCCCTGCAAACGACAGGATCATACTTTCAGAGCTAGAAAGGACCTTTGAAGTCATAGAGTCCAACTTCTTCATTTTAAAGATGAAACCAAGGCAAACAGAGGTTAAGTGACTTGCCCAGAGTCACATGATTCCAAGTCTTCTTGACTCCAGGTCTCTTGCTTTATTTATTACATCAGACTACCCATCCAAATTTACCCCTTCCGCCTTTGATTAAACACAGACACCAGACATACAAAGTAGAGACACTCTAAGACTTATGACTGAAACAGGACAACCGTAGAGAGAAACCAGGCTTGTGGAAAGCACTGCGGCTTGAATCCATGGAAATTCTGCCTTAGAGACCTGGCATCATGAGCAGTTTCCTAGCCTGATCCATGGAAGTTGTAGTGCTCTAAGCATTTCAGACTTCCAGAGAAGTAATGGAACACAACTGTTGGTCGGCTGCCTGGGAAGCAGGAAAATCATCTAGCGAGAATTCTTCCAACTTCTCTTGCCCCTTACCTGGTTCTTAGGTCTGACACCTGGAGATCAAACTTCTCAGGAGTTTCCTAATTTTATTCCTCATTACAGCCACCAAAGTGAACCTTTCCTCTTCCAACCTAAATAAATTGGAGGGGCTAGGGCAGGTTCCCCACCCCTGGGCTAGTGGCAAGAGCACGGAAGGTCATGGATGTGCTTAAAGATTGGCAGAAAAGGTGGTGCCAGTGTCTTCCTAACTCAGAGCTTTCTAATTTCTTAAACACCCAGTTGAGAAGATTTTTTCCTTCAATCCCTCATGGAATAGCTGCCTTTTTCTTTTCTGGGTGAGCAAGATAAATTTGGGGAAGCACATTTGCAAGGTAGTATCAAGAAAGTAATATTAAGAAATATATCATTTCAGTGATATCCAGTCTCTGGGATCTATTCTCAGACCCCTTAGGGCTTCTCATAGGAAGTGAACAACAGAGATGGGGAGGTGTCTTCTGAACCTTGCCAGAGCTTATCGCTGCTCCTAAACCCTCCTTTATAATATATATAAGAAATAATTTTGGGAATTTATTGGGAACTGGTGTTCTGGTCTTATTCCTTCCAGCCTCACCCGTAGTTCGTCAAATCCATACTTCACACTGATACCAGTTCAGTCTTCCCCACGCTCAGATCCGATCATATCATATCTCTACTCAAAACCCTACAATGGTTCCCTAATACCTACCAATAGGCAAAATGCTGGGCTTGGCATCGGAGAGACTTGCATTAAAGTCCAACCTCAAATAGTAAGTTGTGTGACTCTGGGCAACTGTTTGCCTCAGTTTCCTTGATTGTAAAATGGGACTAGAAACAGCACCTCCCTCATAGGGTTGCTGTGAGGATCATATAAGATAATATTTGTAAAGTGCTTAGCACAGTGCCTGGCACATGGTGGGCACTATACTAATGCTTATTCCTTTCCTCTCTCTCTCCCAAATAAAGTCCAAACTCTTTAGACTAAAATCAAAGTTCTCCACAATATGGCTCCATCCTATCTTTTCAGTCTTCTTTCACTTATCTTATCAAATTATGCTTCAGCCAAAGTGACTGCTTGCTGTTCGTCATACATCTGCATGGTCCTGCCTGGTGCTTTGGCTGATGCCACTCCTGGAGCCTGGAATGCTGCCCTTCCCCTAACTCCTGTTGAAATCCTCCTTAGCCTTTAATGCCACCTCCTCCATGAAGCCTTTCTTGATCTCCAGTCAGAAAAGGCTTTCTTCCCTCCTCTTCAGATTTCATCCAGCACTGGGCTGGGCTCCTCATCTAGCAATGTGCTCCTCATACAGTATTGTGTTCCTCATCCAGCACTGGGCCATGCTCCTCATCCAGCATTGTGCTCCTCATTCAGCACTGTGCTCCTCATCCAGCACGGTGCTGAGCTCCTCTAATGTACCAATGTTCCATTTCACCTTGAAGTTATCATAACTTTCCTATTAGGAAGCAAGATGGTGCAGTGGCTAGAGTACTGGGTCTGGAGTCAGGAAGTCCTGAGTTCAAATCCAAACTTAGACACTTAATGGTTGTGAGACCCTGGGCAAATTACTTAGCCTCGGCATTCAGTTTCTTTATCTCTAAAATAGGGATAATAATGTCATCCAACTGTCAGGGTCATTGTAAGGATGAAATGAGACAAATATTTGTAAAATGCTTTGTAAACTTTAAAGTGCTACATAAATGATAGCTGTATTATTTATGCTAGGCAGAGGAATACAACATTTTAAAAGCATTACTAAATGCCAATCACTGTGCTAAGCTAGAGAGTAAGCTCTCTGAGGTCAGACATAATGTCTTATCTCTCTTCTTATTTCTTTCAGTGCCTAGTGTAGCGTCCTCAACATTAACAATTGTTTGTTGAATTGCTCACCTCCCAAGTGCTGGCCTATGCCCAATCCAGCATGATCAAATGAGTGTCCCCTGGTTGAGCCAAACAGAGAAAAGAAATAAGAGGAAGCAAGAGGAGGACCCTTAAGGAGTATTTGATCTGGACGCAAGTTAGGGTCCTGGTTTGTTCAAAACCTCACTACCAGAATTGTCAGTGAGTTAAGGGCACAGGACCCTGAATTTTGCATCTGAGTTGCTTGGTTATCTCAGACCCTAGCGTGTTCCAGACATCAAAAAAAGACAAGGAGTCTGCATGGACACTAGGTTTTAACAGGTTAATCCAGAAGAGAAAATATAGGATCATGAGATTTAGAGCTGGAAGACCTTATCATTTTACAGATGAGGAAACTAAGGTCCACAAAGGCAGAGTGAAATATCTAAGGTCACAGAACTGGTAAGTGGCAGAGGCAGACTCAGACAAAAGAGTTAAGGATGCAAACCCAATATTCTATCCACTACACCAGGCTATTTGGCTGGAGATCTCAGAGGCACAACCTCTATTTCTCTTGCCCAGAGCAGGCTCTTTAAGAGCAACAAGCTGGGTGGCTCTTCGGCCAAGATTTGAGGGAACGGGCAGTCCTGGAACCCCAAAGAAAAGAAGATGATCCCTTAGGGGTAGGCCTACTGTGTGGTTTGTCTCCTCATAGTCCTGAACCCTAATAAAAGTATACATTTGGTTCTTGGAAGAGAGGTAGCTACCAGGATGGAGATCTCTAGCTCTGTGGTTGCAGCCCCTAGTCCAAAAGCTGAGCAATAACCCCTCTCTCCTCTGTTTCTTGTCTTCCCTTTCTAAAATAAGTACACATTACTTTTTTCTTCAGTTCTTGTCTTTCATTGACATCCTCAAACACTTTGTGTGGTGAAAAGAAGCAGGTAACATTACTTGCTCATTAAGTAGATGCCAAGGACTGATCAGTCAATTTAATTCCACTTAAATATTTATGAAGCTACCATATGCAAAGCACTACTGTTAGCTGCTGGTGATACAAAAATAGATGAAACATAGGACCTGCTAATGAAGGATTTAAAATCTAACAGCAGGGAAAGACATACCCAATTAACTATGATACAAGAGAAATCATGATAACTGCAAAGGAAAGTTTCGGGTAAAAAGTTATAAGAAATCTGAGAAGGGAGGAATCAAGGCACCAAAGTAGGAGGTAACATCCAGCCAGGCATAGGGAGTCTACCTTTGGACATTGGATGGGACAGAATTGTGACCAGAACCCACCCTAGTGACTCTTTGGACTAAATTAGTTATTAAGTTTCCCTGATGCATAGGCATTTTTTGAATAATGCAAGCTCTAGAAATCTGGGGACGGCAGCAGGTCAGTGTGGAAGAAAGGAACGAGCTAAAGGGTAGAACTATTCCCCTATTAGACTGTAAGCAAACCGTTGTAGGCAGGGATTGTTTACTATTCATCTCTGTATTTTTAGTGTCTCTGGCACGGTGCTGTGCACAGCCTAGGCCCTAACTATGTATATAAATATATATACACACATACATACATATATTCACACATATACACATATTCAAATATACATATATATCTGAATTGCCATACACAGCTTGGGGTCCTAGAACCCAGAACAGGCACTCTGACCTTTTGTCTGGGAGACGGTGAACGGGTATCCTATCTACAGGACAGAAAAATAATAGGATTTAGAGCTCCAAGGGACGTTTGAGATCAATAATACCCTCGTTTAAATGATAAGAAAAATGACTGAGGTAAACGGGTGTTGGGGGACCAGAGGGAAAATCAGCTTCCCTTCCAAGTTCTCAGACCTTGGGAGCTACTTTGGAGTCCCTCCTTAGATTTCACAGCCCCAATTCTTCAGAGCCCTCCCCATCCCCCTTAAACTGGGATTTCCCCCCCAAGACGCCTTTTTCCTTTGGGCTGTACAATCAGCCAGCCCTTTGTGCTCCCAGGGAATCAGGGCTGACCCCAGTCAGTGGCTGGAAATCTGCACGAACTAGTTTTGAGCTCCACCTCCCCCAGACCTGTTCCCTCCGACAGCTCAGCTGCCTACCTAACAGGTGAGTCCCGGAGTCGACTCTTCGCACCCTTTTCCTCCTGGCATGAACGCTCCAGCTCCAGAATTGTGTCCTTGGGGTAGGCTCGTCACTGACACAGGGCTGGAAGTGGGGAGTGGAGGAAAAGATCGCTCCATACCTGCCCCAAACCGCTTCAATCTCGACCCCTCCTCCGCGCTAGAGCGGGGTGTTTACAATTTCGGTGCTGCGCTAGGGATTCGACGTTTGAAGTCGGGCAGGAAGTGGGGAGGAGGGGGCGGGGGGAGACGGAGGGGGCTGTGGGTTCCTGCTGTACAGAGGTATCGCGCCCCCCTCTCTTCTCCCCCGTTACCCCCTCTCCAGAGACTGCTAACACCGCTGAGTGGGCAAGCGGTCTAGGGGCTGCCCCCGATTCAAACTCCCGGGTGCGCACAGAACCCGAGGGGACCCCGCCCCCTGGCTCCTGCTTTTCAGAGCAGAGGGAAGGGGTAGGGGGAGGTGACGGGGCCTCGTTGCCCCCAGGACAGCTCAAGCACAGGTGTGGGCGTGAAGGGTGCAGTGTTGTCACCTTCCGTGTAAGAAAGGGTTCCGTCTTGGTTTTAGAGACTTCAAAATCGTCTTTCCTCGTTAGTAAAGCAGCGACTCCGCTACCGCAGAGTACTCTGTAGTGGGCGGTGCATTGTCCTGGTCCAAAGGTGGTAAGTGTCAAAAGACCTAGATTCGAGTGATGCCTGGCTTTGCTACTTAATTGTATATAATTTTGATCACATCGCTGCCCCTCTGAATTGCAGTTTTCTTTTTCCCCTGTCAAATAAAAAGGTTAGGCGAAATGACCTCTAAGGCCCCTTCCTGCGCTGAATACTATGGTCCTAAATAATCAGGTTCCTTCTAGTTCGTATATTCTGCGGTTTTGTGGATGAAGGGATTGATCTCCAAACTCTAAAACAGCTGCAGAGTTCGTTGTGAAGGGGTGGAGCTCTTACTAGTTACTGAAGTCTTAGTAACCTCTAGGACGCAGGGCAGAAAGTTTGGGATCCAAACATGCTTGTCGATTGACTGCTGGCGAGGGGTGTGGTTTCAAAAGAGTGAAGTGGAAAGAGCATTGGAGACTTGGATCTCTGTCACCTTGTGCACGCCAGGCCTCGGTTTCCAGTTCTGTAAAATGGGGGGAAGGGAAGAGCTGAACTACATTATTTCAAAGGTTCCGCTAAAGCAGAAGGTTTTTTTTATTATTTATTTAGTATTTTATTTCCCCCCAATTACATGTAAAAACAACTTTTAACATTCATTTAAAAAATTTAGAGTTCCAAATTCTCTCCCTCCCTCCCCACCCCAATTTGAAATAGGTTATCCATGTGTAGTCATGGCAAAACATATTTCCATATTAGTCATATTGTAAAAGAAAATATAGACCAAAATAAAAACCTCAAGAAAAAGTAAAAGAAAAAAAAGTATGCTTCCATCTGTATTCTGACACCATCAGTTTTTTCTCTGGGGATGGATAGCATTTTACATCATAAGTCCTTCAGAACTGGCTTGGATCATTGCATTGCTGAGAATAGTTAAGTCATTCACAGCTAATCATCCTACATTATTGTTATTAGTGTACAATATTCCCCTGGCTCTACTCTCTTCACTCTACATATGTTCATGTAAATCCCTCCAGGTTTCTCTGAGAGCATCCTGCTCACCATTTCTTATAGCACAATAGCATTCCATCACAATCACACAATACAATTTGTTCAGCCATTCCCCAATTGATGGGCATCCTCTCAATTTCCAATTCCCAACTCCCTGCCATCAGAAAAGAGCCGCTATAAATATTTTCCTACACATAGGTCCTTTTCCTTTTTTTTTTTTAATCTCTTTTGGGATATAGTGGTATTGTGGTGGTAGTGGTGTAGTGGTTTCATAGCCCCCTGGACACAGTTCCAAATTGCTCTACAGAAAAGTTTAATCAGTTTACAAGCCACCAACAGTGCACTTATGTCTCAATTTTCCCACATCCCCTCCAACATTTGTCACTCACCCCTTCTGTCCTATTAGCCAATCCAATAGGTTCGAAGTAGCACCTCAGAATTTTTTAAATTAGCAGAGGTTTTTTAAACCTGGGGTTCATGAACATGATTGTTTTAACTTTATTATCTGTATTCAGTGTAATTGGGATCCTCTGTATTCTTACGCATTGAGAAGAGGTCCGTGGCACCAAAAAAAGAAAAAAAAAAGCTTAAGAATTCCGTGTCCTCAAGTCCAAGACCTGTGATCCGGGGACTCAGGTCTCTCTGCTCTACGAGGCTATGAAGCTGCTGGGGTTTAAATGGTAAACGAAACGCATCTAAGTTCCCTTTCCTACTGTCACCTGAGGGCGCTTTTCCCAGGCTTTCTCTCCCAAGTACACTAATAAACCTGTATGCTCTCCTTCCTCCCGTGGAAGGCCAAGTGAGCCACAGACTCTTGCCACACCCACCACAACCGCCCACCTTTGGAAACTGGAGCTATAAGCTCGACCCCTCTCCCTCCTTCTCCTCCTCCTTCTCCCTTGCACCACTCCACTTCCGTCTTGGACTACAGTTCCCAGGCTGCCTTGCGCACACGCACATTCTCAGGTATTCAAGATGGCTGACACAGCTGGAACTGCCGGAGCCGGTGGCTCAGGAGCGGTAAGGACCAGAGGCGGGGGGATAGTGGGCATGAGGGCTTAGTCCCTGGTCTCAGCAAAACGAAGCAACACAAAGATTGCGGGATGAGGGGTCCCTGGAGTCAGTTCCCGCACTGAACGACTCTGACCGGAGCAAAGGCCTCACCTTCTGGCATACCCCTCCCCCCACCTCCTTTAGTCCTTGGCGACCGGAGTTCTCAATTGGCTAGTTCCCAATAGGAGGCGGGGATTCGGAGAAAGCTCCTAATTGGCTCAAGCTGCCCTCCCTTCTCTCTTTATTGGCCCGATTTTTGGCCAATCGAAAAACCAGCTGCTGGGGGATTTAAAAGGACATTTCAGCGTGGTTATTGTTAAGGTAGCCTTTTGCTACCTCGGTGTTTTATATTACTTGGCCCTGTGATAGCTGAGAAGAATACTGTTTCTATTGTTTTTAAGTAGTTTAATTCGTGACTGGCTCTTCGTGACCCCATTTGGGGTTTTCTTGGCAAAGATGCCGGAGTGGTTTGCCATGGCCTTCTCCAGTTCATTTTACAGATGAGGAAACTGAGGCAAACGGTGACATGACTTACCTAGGGTTACACAGCTAAGAAATGTCTGAGGCCTGATTTGAACTCAGGTTTTCCTGACTGCAGGCCCCAGGGCTCCATCCACTGGGCCACCTGGGCCCCATCTCTTTTCATAATATCAAAGACTTGTAGCAGTTGCAGGGAACATAGAGGCAATGAAATCCAACCCCCACCTTTTATAAGTGTTGCTCATTGTATGTGAAGTGGGGAGCTCTGAGACTGAGGGAGAGGTATTATTCTGGAGTATACTTTGAGAGAAGGAATCATTAACCTCCAAGATTTAGCACTTCTTGAACATTCAATAATTAAGCTAGTTAGCCAGAAGCACAAATCTAAACAGCAGGGTTGCTGCATGGAAGTTTTGATAGGCATTTATCATTCATCTCCCATCTGTCATGGATGGTCAATTTTATATTCTTAAAGTGTGTGATTTCACCTTTTTTCCCTGGTTGTTGATTCATATAGAGGTCAGGAAGCAAGCAGGCCACCACCCCTGCAGACAACTACTACCTGGCACGGAGGCGGACCTTACAGGTAGTTGTGAGCTCCTTGCTGACGGAGGCTGGGTTTGAGAGTGCTGAGAAAGCATCGGTGGAAACATTAACTGAGATGTTGCAGAGCTGTGAGTATGGAAGAATACTAGCTGCCTTTTGCAAAGTCAGTCCATTAAATTTTTTTGGAAAATTGTGTACTACCTCCATGAAACTTCCTTGTGATGGAGATTCATTGGATTCTCAATGGCTATGCTAATGGATTATAAAGACTGGCAGTTCTCAGAGTTTTTGGATTTGAGTCCAGGGATGTACTTGGTTAAATTTGGATGTACTCAACAAAAGCTTGGTCAACAGATAATTTATTTTCTCTAATAGCATCTTATGAAGCAACTAAGGCTTAGTGAATGAATGAACAACTACATCTTTATTAAACATTTGCTATATATGCTAAGTGCTCTGTTAAACACCAGGGATACAAATACAAAAAGTAAGGCAGTCCTGCCCTAAAGAACTTAAATTCTGTAATAAAGAGAGCTAAATGAGTTCATTCTATCTATAAAAGGATGGTGGGTAGTTAAGAGAATTTTGGTCTGGGGAATTACTGGAATGGTGAGTTGATCCGTAGGGCGATCAATTAACATGCCCTTTCCAAAAGGTGTGGTACTATTGATTACTGTTCCCAGTCAAGAAGTAGAAAAAAAAAAAGGAGGGTATTTGTACATTGGCCAGGCAGTTGGCAAGGTGGCCATCATGGATGGCTAGATGGAATGTAAAGCATAGCCTGACTTGCTCTGGTCTGGGTCTGTGCAAATATAGTAGGGGAGGCAAGTTTGCCTTCCCTACTCAAGATATTTCAGCCTCTGGATAGAAATCCCAAAGTTAGGTAGATTAATTTCCCCAAGAATTGGGGTCATGGCTTCTGGAGTGCGGAGGTGCAGAAAGCATTTATTAAGTACCTTCTAAATGCCAGGTGCTATGCTAAGTGCTGCATATACAAACGAGGCAAAAGACAGTCCTTGCCCTCAAGGAGGTCATATTCTAATGGGGGAGACAACATACAAACAAATATGTACAAACAATACAGGGTAAATAGGAAATAATTAAGTGAATAGAAATAGGAACAGGAGAAATGGGAAATAAAAGAGAGAAGTGCTAGGATTTAGAGAGGTTGGGAAAGGCTTCTGCAGAGGGTGGGATTTTAGTTGAAGCCAAGGAATCCAGCAGGTAGAGATGAGGAGAGAGAACATTACAAGCATGGGGAGCAGTTTGAGAAAATGACCACAGCCAAGAGATGAGTGTCTTATTTGAGGAACAGCCAGGAGGCCAGGGTCACTGGATTGAAGAGTCCGTGTTGGGGAGCAAGGTGTGAGAAGGCTGAAAAGGTTAGAGGTGGAGGACAGGTTTGAAGGGTTTTGAATGAAGACAGGATTTTGTATTTGATCCTGAAAGTAAGAGGCAGGCGGTTGAGTTTATTGACTAGGGAGGTGACGTGGTCAGATTTTTGCACTTCAGGAAAATCGTTTTGGCAATTGAGTGGAGGATAGATTGGAGTGAGGAGAGACTTGTGGCAGTGACACTCACAATCAGGCTATTTCAGTAGGCCAGATGTGAAGTCATGAGGGCCTTCACAGGGTGGTGGCAGTGTCAGAGGAGAGATGTTGTGCAGATGGAATTGACGGCAACAGCTTGGATATGGGTGGTGAGAAATAGGGAGGAGCAGAGTATGCCAAGTTTTCAAGGGGTGAGGATTTAGGGGAAAGGATAATGAGCTCAGTTTTGGCCATTTTGAGCTTCAGATGTCTACTGGACATCCAGTTCAAGATATCTGAAAGGCAGTTGGAGATGCAAAACTGGAGGTCAGCTGAGGTTAGGGCAGGATAGGTAGGTTTGAGAGATGATAATTAACTCTTAGAGAACTGATGAGATCACCAAGTGAAGTTGTTATTGTTATTGTTCGTCCTTCATTCTTGAAGAGGACCATGAGCTTGATTTGCCTGTGAATTGGATATGAGTGAGGTAGAGCTGAGCAAAGTTGTCACCCTTACTCCTCCAGAATCATTGAAGCCCAATGGCTGAAGTATAGAAGGAGAAGAGAAGAGGCCCTGAGGGACATCCATAGGTAGTGGGTCCAGCAAAGGAGACTGAGAAGATAGGGAGGAGAGGAACCAGAGGAGAGTGGCAAAAACCTCGAGAAAAGAGAGTATCAAGGAGGAGAGGATGATCCACAATGTCAGAGGCTGCAGAGAGATCAAGAAGAATGAGGATTAAGAAAAGGCCATTGGATTTGACAATTAGGAGACCACTGGTAACTTTGGAGAGAACGGTTTTGGTGGAATGATGATGTTGGAAACTGGATTTTAGGGGGATTAAGAAGAGATTGAGAGGAGAGGAAGTGGAGGCAAGATGGATTGCAAGGTAGCTTGAGTGGGTGACCATATGGAATATAAAGCAAGCCTAGCGATGTTGAGTTGTGATCTGTTTTGGTGGGAGGTTTACTTATGGTTACTGAGTCATGTGCCTGGTACTCTACTATGTGCTATGAGGGTTACGAGAGAAGGACAGTGAGTACTGGTGAGTTTATTGTTTTATTAGGGAGACAGAACTAGGTTACTTGAAACAATTTAGATAATTGTGTATTACATAATTAAGTACTAAGTTTCATGACACATTTAACAAAGAAAAAATCTTGAGATTTAAGGTGTTTGTTGTGGTTTCATTTAGCTAATTCTGCACCTACAACATGTTTCAGTGTTAATATTGCCATGTCACTTAAAGCTCCCCTAATTAATCGAATAAAGCAATCCTAGATAAGAATTCAAATTGTAAAGACCTCTGGTGCTCTTGAAACTCATTGCAGGATTTAAAAATCTTAACTATTAGGAAGTTCTCTTCAGTTGGTTTTTTTTTTTCCAGTGACTATGGTCACAGAACTGACAATCATATCATCTTCTAAGAGGGGACAAATATTGGAAAGGGTGAAGTTGAAGAGAAAATTGTAATAGGGTTGTACTCTGGTAAAAGAACTGTCAGAACTGAGGTGTTGCTGAATCTTTTGTAACCAGCACTAGACAGCAAAGGGTTAGGGATCTTGTTTTGTATGAATGCCGTGGTAGTTGGTTACACTGATGAGCTGTCTCATTTAGGTGGGTTGTAGGGACAGGATTAAAGTGTAGAATGACTGTCTTCACCTGTCTTTTGTTTTTTCTTTTACTTCTATGGCATTCTACAGTTTGCCTGTCCAAATTCACCCTATGCCACTAATGGTAGCTGACATTCATATAGAACTTACTCTGTGCCAGGCACTGTGCTAAGCGCTTTACAATTATTATCTCATTTGATCCTCACAACAACCCTGGAAGGGAGGTGCTATTATTATCCCCATTTTATAGATGAGGAAACTGAGGCAGAAAGAGGTTAAGTGGCCTGCCCAGGGTCGCACATTTAATAAATTTCTGAGGTCAAATTTGAACTCAGGTCTTCCTGACTCCTGCTCTACTCACTACCAGCTTGCCACCATATATTCTATGCTGTAGCCAAACAGTGCCTAGCACAGTGCCTGGCACATAGCAGGTAATTAATAAATGCTATTTGACTGAATTACTTATTGCTCCCTTCCCTCTTCCCCCCACCCCGCATGGCCTTAATTTTCCTGCCTTGTGCCTTTACTTGCTTTACTCCTACATCTGGACTTTCCATCCTCTTCCACAAATCCCTACCTTACCTGTCTTTCAAAATCCAGCTCTAATGCTATTTTTGTACAAGAAGCTGGCCTTAGTCTCCCCACTTAGAAATTACTTTTGTGCTTTTGTTACACACATGTGGCGTTCCAATTTCATGTTTTATTATTATTTATGTAGGTCTCATTGCCCCTAGGAAATTGTAAACTCCTTGGTAGAAGACATCATTTCTCATTTATCTCTATGTCTTCTCAAGCCTGGCATGGTGCATTATATTTAGTCAATATGTAATAAACATTTATTGAATTTCTAGCTAATAGAAAAGAACCAAGTAGGTGGTGACTTTTCAGTTCCTCACATGCCTCATTTCTAAGCTGTTTTATGGGGATTTCCCTCCAGCAGCCACCCTGTGAAGGTTTGTCCACAAACTGAAATCATGGGTACTCTAAGTATTGAAGTACATCTTGTGCTGGGCTGTTTGCTTTAGGGATTTCAAGAGAAGGAGTCTCAGTCCCTGACATGGGAGAGCTTATGGGTTTGTTGGATAGACAAGGACTTGGACAGATGGAATCATTTAGATAATGATATAGGACTATGTGTAATCATTTTTCAGATGGAGAGACTGAAGGGAAATGATTCATCTAGGATAAGTTTGGGACAGATCTTCACTTACACCCCTGCATTCTGTTTTCTGGGCTTTGTGGAATCACTGGAAGCTCATTCCATCTCTTTTGTAATCATTCAACAAGAATGGTTAACAGAAGCCTGGTATCAGGCAGAGGAGACGGAAATGTCCATGCCTGATATTGGACTATATAATTTGTTTGTTTTCCTAGACCTTTCAGAAATCGGGAGGAGTGCTAAATCCTATTGTGAGCACACGGCCCGGACACAGCCAACACTCTCAGACATCGTAGTCACACTTGTTGAGATGGGTGAGTTTCACCTTTCGTTGTACACATGGTGACTTGATATGGTAGGATGGGTGACTGAGAAAACAGTTAATTGTTTTGTGACTCCATAGAGATGAGGGAAGTGTCTTCTGGAACTCCTTTAGTCCCTTGAAGGTTCACTGTTAGGGGATTGCATCCACCGCACTTTCCTTAGAGTCAGAAGACCTAGGTCTGAGTACCAGCTCTGATACATAGAAACTGTGTGACTGTGGGCAAGTAACATAACTTCTCTGGGCCTCATTTTTCTTGGTCTCAATTTTCTTATCTGTACTTGAACTGCCTCTGTTTCACAGGATTGCTATGAGAAAAGCACCTTGTATACAGCTAGGTCCCAACTGGGGCAGCGAGGTGGTTCAGTGGATGGAACCCTTGCCTGGAATCAGGAAGAGTCAGCTTCCTGAGTTTAAAACTCAGGACACTTATTAGCTGTGTGACCACAGGCAAGTCGCTTAACCCTGTTCACCTTTGTTTCTGCATTTGTGGAAATGGCAAACCATTCCAGTATCTTTGCCAAGAAAACCCAAATTGGTTCATGGAGAATCAGACACAACAGGAAAACGGACTTAACAGTGACAGGTCCTAATTAGTGCAAATAACAAATCCTTCAAGTGGTCACAAGTATTTGAATTAGTACTGTTTGAAGAATAATTATATGAAATATGGTCATTGGTTCTAGCCCAGTAGAAAATATGTAGTACCTATTAGAATAATGTAGATACTTCAAAGGATTAGTGATTTGCACTAATAATATATGTAAATATTATTATTGTCACGTTGCTTTGTAGCCAGCCAGATTTATCATGAACTGGCACCCCTGAATAAATTTTTAAGAGTGCCATTATCCCCCTATAGTGATGAGTTTTACCTTCAATTTTAGTTTCTGCCAAGTAACAGCAGTGTGGATGTATTTCTAGGATAAGAAACTCCAGACAGATTCTTCTGCCTTCTTGATGATAATTTGTGGAAGTCAGTACAGTGATTTTGTTTTCCTTTCCTTTAGGTTTCAATGTGGAAACTCTCCCTGCATATGCTAAACGGTCCCAGAGGATGGTCATCACAGCACGTAGGTGGCCTTGGATGTGGGCTTGGCTGGCTTTTGGTTACTTATTGTGGGTTTTTTATCTTTTTGAAGGGCTGTCTAGAGTGTAGGCAAACAGGTCATCATGTGAAAGTGTAGTTATCGGGGCAGCTAGGTGGCGCAGTGAATAGAGCACTGTCCTGAAGGCAGGAGGATCTGAGTTCAAATCCAGCCTCAGACCAAACATTTAACACTAGCTGTGGGCAAGTCACTTAACCCCAATTGCCTTAAAAAAAAAAGTATAGTTATCAAAAGGGAACACTGACTCAGTCTCTCCTAGGATCACTAGTTTTAGCCCTAGAAATGCAAGAAGAGCCACGAAGAAGTGGTAGATGTTCTTTTCCTTGCCCAGGGAGAAGAATACAACAGCTTAACTATCCAGAAGGGTTGGCTTGGGCTGGCAGGAAACAAAGGGAATCAATTGCATTTTATTTCATTCTCACTAGAAGCATGCTGCCAGAATATCAAAGCCTTCACTTCTGGGGATGTAGTGACCCTTTTTGGTATTAAAGACACATAGTTGATGGCCCACTTTGTGTCCATATGGCTTAGGGCCCATAGAAAGAGAAAGGGCAGCAGCTTCTCCATCTTGCCTTTTTTTTAGCGTAGCTCTGTCACGATGATAACACTCAAGGAGAATTGGGGGGTGAAGGGGGGGGTTGGCTGTGAGAAGAATGGTAGGCAGGGATCCCATTCACCTCTAGCTACCTAGTGCTTAGGCCAAACCCGTCAGAGTTCTTGCTTGTTCTGTCTTTAAAATAAGTTTTAGTAATTTACTGATACACATTCTTTTTGATATGAGACTTCCTAACAAACACCCATACCTACCTACAAAGTACCTTCCCTGAAGGTGTTAAGTAGTTAACCAGATTTAAAAAAAAAAATTTCCACTTAGTAGTATTTTTTTCAATTACATATGATGATAGTTTGCAACATTCACTTTTATGAGATTTTGAGGTCTAAATTTTTTTTCCTCCTTCTTTCCCTTCCTCTCCCCCTGATGGTAAGTGATCTGATATAAGCTATACATGCACATAAACATATTTCCATATTAGTCATGTTGTGAAAAGAAGAATTAGAACAAAAGGGAAAAACCATGAGAAAGAAAAAAAAAGAGAGAAAATATTATGCTTTGATCTGCATTCATATGCCATCATGCTTTCTCTGGATGTAGATAGCACTTTACATCATGAGTCTTTTGAAATTGTTTGAGAAGAGCTAAGTCTACCAAAGTTGATTATCAAATAGTGTTGCTGTTACTGTATACAATGAGTTAACTAGATTTTTAAAAACTCTCAAATACTATAAGTTGCAGAGAAGGTGCTGGCATAGAGCAGGGTTTCTTAATGTTTTTGGTGTCATGGACCCCTTTGTTAATCTGGTGAAGCATGTGGACTGCTTCTCAGAAGAAAGCTTTTAAATAATTGAAGGAAATGCTCACTTTCAATTAGAGGTTAGTGAAAATAAGGATGTGATTTTGTTTCCCATCAGAGTTCACAGACACCTTCCCCTCCCACCCCCCAGATCTATCCACAGATCCTGTTGGGGGGGGGCGGTCTGTGGATCCTAGGTGAAGATCCTCTGACATAATACCCGTCGACCCAGCAATACCACTTCTAAGTCTGTATCTTGAAGAGATCATAAAAACCGGAAAAAGACCCACATGTACAAAAATATTTATAGCAGCTCTTTTTGTGGTAGCAAAGAATTGGAAATAGAGGGGATGCCCATTAATTGGGGAGCAAGTTGTGGTACGTGATTGTAATGGGATATCATTGTACTGTAAGAATTGATGAGTAAGCAGATTTCAGAAAAACCTGAAAAGACTTACATGAACTGATGCTGAGTGAAGTGAGCAGAAGCAGAACATTGTACACAGCAACAGCAACACTGTGCGATGATCAACTGTGATAGACTCAGCTCTTCTCAGCAATACAATGAACCAAAACAATTCCAAAAGACTCATGATGGAGAAGGCGCGCCACATCCAGAAAAAGAACCGTGGAGTCTGAATGCAGATGGAAACATACTACTTGTTCTCCTTTTCTTTTGTTGTTTTGTTTTATTCTTTTTTGTGATTCCTCCCTTTAGTTCTAATTCTTTTATACTTCATGACCAATGTGAAAATATGCTTAATATGTATGTATATGTATAGCCTATATCAGATTACATGCCATCTTGGGGAGGAGGCAGGAGAGAGGTGGAGAAATTTAAAACTCAAAATCTTAATGGAAGTAAATGTTGAAAACTAAAAATAAATTATTTAAAAAAAAGATCCTCTGACATAGAGGGAGTTTCCATATAGGGAGTTCCTTATACCAATGAAATTTCAGGTCTAATTCTTATCTAGTTTTTTTAAAATTTTTTTTTAAAAAATCACCAAATTTCAAAAGAAAGAATGTTTAAAATAAATAATAAATATAAGAATTTTAAAAATTAGCTTTTATCACTTTTTCAGGTGATTAGAAGTTGTTTAGGAAATCCATTTCTGCGGTCCAACCATTTGTTTTAAGAGCAAGAGGCATTGGTCTGTGGTTTTGTCCTAAGAGAGAAGAACCTTGGGCAATTGGATCTCAAAGGAAAGAGCAGTCAGTGAATGAGTCTGTTTAACTCTATTGCAGCTCCCGTCACCAATCAGCCTGTGACTCCCAAAGCCCTGACTGCTGGACAGAACAAGTCTCACCCACCTCACATCCCCAGCCATTTTCCTGAATTCCCCGATCCCCACACCTACATCAAAACACCGGTAAGTAAGTTGGTCTTGACAGCCTCTTAAACAATATGTCCATTTCTGGTCACTTGTAACCCACAGCTTATGAATAGGTTTTCTTCCAAAGATTGGTTTTTAAGTCAGATGTTTGGAACTTGGAATGCATTTGCCTGTAAAATAATATTTTAAATGATGATTAAATTACAAATCTAGTCCACAGATGTCCATTGAAACCCTAATGTAACTGAAAAGTGTATTTAACAGGAGCCCTTATTTCTTTGATCTTTTTATTGTTGGGGAAAAGAAGAGAGTCTGTGTGGATGAGGTAGGTAAGTTGAGAGCCCATTGTACCTAACATTCTGACAAGGATAATTATCTGTGTGTGTGTATGTGTGTGTGTGCGTGTGTGTGTGTGTGTGTGTGTGTGTGTGTGTTTGTGTGTGTATTTTATTTAAGTATACATATTGGTATGTGTATATATCTATTTATATACATAAAAACAAAAAATACCAAGTCATGCCTCCATTGAGCAATATTCATTTGATAGACATCCTCTGTATGTGTGTTCACTTTCGAAATTCCATTTTGTCCTAATTGGAGAATTCACTTCTGTCCTAATTGGAAAATTTATTTTCCCTTGGAATATGTCATAATGATGATAGGAATATTTATCTCTGGAGGTTATGCACCACTCCTTTTTACATGATAGTGTTGGAGCTGTTGTCTCTATGATGTTTTGATCATGTGTTTCTAGTAATAAAACATTTTTGAGCATGCACCCTCCCACTATGTGTATATTTACTTATTTATAAATTATGTGTATGTGACCCCAGTGGAGTGGGTGGTGCTTGGTTCTATCAACTGCCTCCTTCCTTCTGGAAGGGAGTGGAGCTGAATCTCCTCAAGCTTTACTTTATCTACACTCTGACCTCCTTCCTTTCTAGTTGGAGGCTAGAGATTAAAGTAGTTACACTCTTTTAAGAAGCTAGCTAGCTTATTTTTAACCTAATGACTTTCAGGTCTGCAAGATCACTTTTTCTTCTCTTTTGTGGAGTTTTTATCAGACAGAAAGGTATTAGTACAATCCATAATTCAGAATTTCCAGTTAGGAAAATCATGTATATTATAAAACTTAAACAAAAATAGAAATTTTAATAAATTGAAGTAAAGATAACTTGAATAAACTAAAAAAGCCCTTTGATAAAGGCATATATTCATCAAATTTGTAGAAGACACGAAGCTAACCCAGTGGATGACAAAGTCAGCATTTTAAAAAATCTTGACAGTCTGTAGCCTTGAATTGAATCTAATTAAAAAGATGAAATTCAGTAGAGATCAATGTAAAGTCTTGTATTTAGGTACAAAAAAAAATCAGCTCGACAAGTATAAGATGAAGGGAAGTGTGGACAGACAGCAGTCCTGAGACATATCTAGGTGTTTTGGTGGACTGTAGGTTCAGTGAGTCTGCAGTGTGATGTGGCAACCCCAAAAGCTGGTGCAACCTCAGGTTGCATTAGAAAGGAGAGAGCATCCAGACATGGGGAAGTGAGCATCCCATTGCATGCTGTCTTTGTCAGATCTCACCTGGAGTATTGTGTTCATTCCTGGGCACCCAGGTTCAACAAGGACGTTGACAATCTGTCCAGAGGAGGGCAGGTAGCATGGTGAAGGGCCTGAAGTCCATAACCCTGATTATCAGTTGAAGGAGCTGGGAAAGAGAAGCCTCAGGGGATATGGTAGCTGTATTAGAAGTATTTGTAGGAATTAGACTAGTTCTGAGAAATGAATGCAAAGAGGCCAATTTAAGCCTGATTTCAAGAAACACTTCCTAACATAATAGAGCTGGCCAGTAGTGTGATTGGGCTGCCTCGAGAGGGTCTGGGATTCTCTCCTTGGGGGTCTTCAAGCAGATCTGTTATATCAGAAATTCTTTTGTGTATCCTGTGGAATAGAAGGCTACTGAGGTCCCTTCCAACTCTTTAGATTCTGTGATTCTGGTTCTGCTCACTACATGTGAGTAACACTGGTCCAAAGTAGAGAGGGCAGGGCTCTTATTCACCATCCACTACCCTTCTATACAGTCTGCCCTCAAAGGGGTACCTACCATAGCTGCTAGGGCATGGGATAGATCTGTTGGAAAGTTGTTCCTTGCATAGCTACTGCTGTAGGTGCCTAAGTGTTGATTTGTTTTTTGTTTTTTATAGGTGGCCTGAAAGGTTAAGCCTGGCTCAGAAGAGAGGAGGTTTGGGAGCTTGCATAGTGGGGGATGTAAAGGGATAAGGATAGGTATAGTTGTTTTAGAGACAGACTCTCCTGTTGCCCATTACTGGGAGGATGGGATTCAACCTAATCTTTCTACCCTTAATTACCCCATGGGGGTCATGCCATGGCTTTTACTTTGTTGTTATTTTTCAATTAGAAAAAATTTTTTTTCAATTAAAAAAAATCTGATTTTTTTTCCCTCTCTCATTTTCTTTTATTCCCTTGGGAAAGACAAAAAGAAATACAAAACTCTTGTTACAAGTAGGCTTAGTTAAGCAGAACAAATTCGTTTATTGGCCACGTCCAAAAAATCTGTCTCAATCTGTCTCATCTGAGTACATCATCTCTTTGTCAGGAGATGAGTATTGTGTTTCATTATAGGTCTTCTAGAATCATGGTTGGTCACTGAGTTGATAAGAGTTCATAAGTTGTTTATCTTTATAATGTTATTATATAAAATGTTCTCTGCCCACTTTACTGTGCATCAGGTCATACAAATCTTCCTGGAGTTCTCAGAAACTCTTCCATCATTTCTTATAGCACAGTAATATTCTATTACTTTCATATATGATAATTTGTCCAGTTGATGGATACCCCTTTAATTTCCAGGTTTTTGCATGGCTCCCACTTTGGAGACCACTGGCATAGAGTATGGACCAATGTTGTTCTTGTGTGTTGTGAAAAGAATGGATATTTACCCTCAGCTATCCTTAGTAACCCTGATTAATAGCAACACAATTTGTCTGAGGGTGGGGAGGGACCCAACAGAGCAGGAAGAAATCTTTTATGCTCTAACCTCCTTTCCTCTTTCTTTAGACATACCGTGAGCTCGTGTCAGATTACCAGGTCCTCCGGGAAAAGGCTGCATCACAGAGGCGTGATGTGGAACGGGCACTTACTCGTTTTATGGCCAAGACAGGAGAGACACAGAGCCTTTTCAAAGATGATGTCAGCACATTTCCATGTGAGAATCACTCCCCTGAATGGACCTGTGGTGTCTTGCCATCTGGGGATGGGACTTAGGATGTCATTTTTCCTCCCTCTAGATCTGAACAGGAGGAAGTGAATAATCTTTTGCCCTTTTTTTGCCTTTATTTTTCCAAAAACAATCTTTTTTTAAAAAATTTTATTTTTTACGTCAGAATAATCTGAGACCTCTGGACTTCTCTTTCCCAGATCTTCACATAACCCTCAGCAGAACTGAGAATGTGTTTTATATGGTTCAATTCTGGAGGGAGAAGGGTGGGGGGAGCGTGGAGAGGGCTGGTATGACACCATTCTTGGATCTTGGTGATTATGAGGAGACTCGAGTTACTTTAGAGGTTTCCTAATAATGGTGGGGTGGGGGAAAAGACAGGTAGACAGACTAAACTGGGAGTCAAGAACCTGGCTTTTCATTCTATGTGAGCTTGAGCAGACGTCCCCTTTTTAGGCCTTAGTTTTCTTAACCTGTAAAAACAAGGAGGTTGGAGTGGATGATTTCAGAGGTCCCTTTGATCTCTGATGTTTTATGATTTTATTTATATTTATTTTAATAATAACTGCTAGCATTTGTATAGTGATTTAAAGTTTGCAAAGTACTTAACTCATTTGATCCTCACTGATAGTAGTAGGGTAGTGGACAGTGAATAAGAAGAATAGCAGCCCCTGGGAAGGAGGTGCTATTATTATCCACATTTTACAGATAAGGAAACTGAGGCAGGCAGAGGTTAAGTAACTTGCTCAGAGTCATACAGCTGGTAAGAATCTATAAGGCAGGATTTGAATCCAAGGTTTCCTTGATTCTGAGCCACATATTCTATCCACTTTAAGTGTGTATTTTTTAAAAGTTTTTTCCCTTCAGTACCTCTCCATGCTTGATGCTTGAAAGTACTCAAACCCTGTGTTCTTGAAGCTTTCTGTACTCCAGTGTATCAGGCAATGGGGGCGAAGTTTCTCCATTCCAGACTCTTGACTGCTGGGTGTATCAAGTTATACCCCTTACCCATCAGCAGAATGCTAGCATTTCCTAGTGAGCTTATCTGGAAAATAGCTTAATTCATTCTCATGCAAGGTTCTGTGCTAACATCAAAGACCACCCAAAATAACCTTCTGTCTCATTCCTTTTCTCTAGTGATCGCTGCCCGGCCGTTTACCATTCCCTATCTGACAGCCCTTCTCCCATCTGAATTGGAGATGCAGCAGATGGAAGAGACGGATTCTTCTGAGCAGGACGAACAGACAGACACAGAGAACCTTCCTCTCCACATTAGTGTGGTGTGTTGTCTTTGCTGCCCACCAGGGCTTACCTTTTCCCATTCTGCATCTTTCCATATATAGTCTGTAGCGACTCATCCTCTTGGCTAGTGATCTGAAGTGAGCATTACCCACCTGAGGCCTCTGGTTTGACTTCAGCCTCTCTGTGATTCTTCGTTTGATCATCTCCTCTCCCTATCTTGCCCAGGCAGCCCCTTGCAGGCTCATTTGCCCTTCTGACTTGGGCTGGCTCACCCCTCCACAGCCTGCCAGCTGCTCTCCCGCAGAGGTTCTCTATGGTGTCAGATTTAGTTTGGGCACCTGACTGGCCTTAGTCTAACTGCAGTTCAGAATTCACCCTTCTCTTGCCCCTCAGCAGGGATTGTAGGCAGGTTTGTGCCAACAGGCCCATCCTGTGCTGGGCTTCCCTCAACCTCCACATGGGATAAAGAATCACTTCCAGTGACCTTGTTGGGTACGCTGGCAGCAAAGTATATGTCCTATTTGAAGTAAGAGTTGAAGATCCCCTCTGGGATGAAAGGCTTAGGGGAATTGCCTCAGGGAAGAGAAGAGTACATGAGATACAGCTGGTGAAATGATGCCTTTAAGGCCATGTGGAGTAGGAAATAGAACACTAGATTCAGAATCAGAGAACCTGCGGCCAAATCTTGGTTCTTTTATATTACCTTGACCTTAGCCATGTCATTTTTCCTCTTTGGGCCTCAGTTTCCTTATTTGTAAAATGTCAAAAACCTGAGACTGGACAACCACCACATAACATTTCCCCCTGCTTTTCCACATATTTAGGGCTATGGAAATGATGCTGCTGAGAACATGGCACAGAACCACATGAGTGACCTCCCACGTTCTTCACAAAAAATCTTTTTATCTTTATATTTCTTTTAGGTTCAGCTTAATTCCTTTCAGAAATCTGAGCTAGGAACCAGTTGCTTAGAGCAAATGATTATCCTTAGCTTCCATATTTTAAATACAGTAAAATCTCCTTATTTTGGATTATATTAACTTGGAATTTGTGATAATTGAGGGAGTAAGTGACTGGGTCCTATTTTTGTGTTATCTGAGGACAAGTTTGCTTAGCAAATTAATTTTGGGGTAAAAAAGATTGCAAGGAATGCTTAAGACAAAAAAAACCCTCAAGTATTTTAGGGGCATCACCTGTATACAAACAATTGACATTTTTAAATTATTCTCATTTGTTAAATTAAGACCCTGTAGTGGGGTCTTTTAACTTGGTTTTCAGTTACTATATATACTCAAAAGTAACAACCTATTTCTTCAAAGCTGGTCTATACTTCAGACTTGAGCAGCCACCCTTTGTTACACGTAAGTAGTCCACCGGAGTGACATTTTATTGTCTGTACTAAAAATGTACCAGTTTGCAAAGTTTTTCCAGCCACATCTACTCATAAGAAAAAAATAAGTCAGTGTCTTTACAGTTGGAATTTATGACTCGAGTGGCTCCTTGGCAGATTGCCTCTCTCGCTTCAGTTGTTGGCATTATTCAGTTCTACTTTTCTTAGTCTGATGCTTAATTTCCCTCATCGCTTCCCCCTGAGGCTTTTCTACCTCGCTGCCTTTTTTTCAGAGAGAAGACACTGTCCGTGGGAATAGATGGGATTGATAGGGAAAACAATGCTCTTACTTAATGGAGGAGATCAGAGAAGAAGTGGAATTTCTAGGAGAGCCACCTGAAAGAAGGGAAAAAAAGGGATATTGTCCTCCCATCACTCTACACCCTCCTCCTTTTTCTTTTCCTTGGCTTGCTGACAAATAGTGACTACATGGCAGCAGTGATTCTAACCTTGGCTTCGTGGAATTTCATAGTGTCTCTAATTATCTTAAGGGATGTTATGAAATCCTTAGATTATTTAAAAATTGAAATCAAATATTAACTTAAAATTTTCAAAATAATTCCATGGCTTTATCCCTGAGCTCTTTCCCTTTTTCCCCTCCCCCTCCCCACCCCACATTTAGGCCCAGAGTTCCTAAACTGAGTTGGGTCTGTTGTGATCATTGAACTAGGATCTGAACCCCAGGTTAGTGCCTTACAACTGGTCTGGGTTCTCAGGTGTGGGACCCCTTGGGATCCCCTGTGTCTTGCCGCCCATTTTCTGGTCGTGGCCTCCCCGGACAGCTTTCCCAGGAGTTTTGCTTGGCCTGACTCTGACTCGAGCCAACTTTGGCCATGCAGTGTGTGGAGCCATTTGTTCCTCGTGCTCTATTTGGTTCTACCTGCATCAACATCCTCTGCCCTTGGCTTTATCTGTTTTGACAGCAAGCTATCTGGGTTGCCAAGGGTAAATCTTTTGCCTTGAGGCAGAAGAACAGGAAGTTATAACTAGCACCCTGTCCCCTTGGACTTCATCTTATGAGTGGTGTTTTGTGGTGTGTTCTTCAAAAAAATAATTTTTTATTATGGTTATCAACAAGTACAATATGCTGAAAACAAATAAGAGTACTGGGGGGTTTTTTAAGCTTATTGAATTTAACAAGGTAGTAACAACATTGCCCCTTGACTTGCCTTTCTTCTGAACTTTCTTTTTGTCCTGTATGCATTTTTAGTGTTTTATTGATGGTCCTCTTTTTTTCCCTTTTTTGTTTGCGTGTCTTACCACCCACTTCTTTACTGTCCTCTTCACCAGCTCCCTGAACAGAAACCCTCCCTTGTTACAAATAAATATAGCCAAACAGAATAAGTCAATATCTCGTCTAGGTCTCAAAATGAATCTCTCATTCTATACCTTTGCTTCATCGTCTTTCTGTCTTCATCCTCAGTCTTCTGAAGAATTGCCTGCTCACTGTGTTGATTAGAGTTCTGAAGTCTTTCAAAAATGGATTTCCTTTACATTGTTGTGGATTGTGTGGATTGTTTTTCCTAGGTCTGCTCATTTTACTCTGTGTGAGTTCATATGAGTCTTCTCGTGTGTTTCTGAATTCTTCATGCTTGTCTTTTATAGCAGTACAATAATATTTTCTTGCATTCATTTCCCATAATTTGTTAGTCACTCCCGCTTTATTTCCAGTCCTTTGCACTAACAGAACGGGTATTGTAGGTCCTTTCCCTCTGTCTTTGACCTCTTTGGAGCATGTGTCTAGTAGTGATATGGTTAGATCAAAGTGAACTTTAGGATATAGTTCCAAGTTGTTTTCAAGAATGGTTGCACCAGTTCACAGCCTTGTGAGCAGCATGACACTTGTGAATCACTAGGGGGCACAATTTTCTGTTATAGCAAAGGACTTCTAAATAGGCTTATCCTGCAAGACCTCAGCCCATTTGGGGGTGGATTTTGAAGTCTGTAAAGGTTACCATTGAGATGCTATAATATTGCAGAGGGAATAGGAGGCCATTATTGGCAGTGCCCTACCAATCTCTGCTACCATTCTCCACTCCCTGTTTTCTCTTATTCCTTTTCTTATTCCTCTACTTTTTTTCTTTTCTTCTATCTTAGCCCTGCTACTTATGTCCAGTGACACTGGTAAGTGTTGCTGGTGATTTAGGGTTTGAGACCATTTGACCTTTGCAGCTATATAATTGTTTTGGGCTTTTGATCATCTTTTGCAAAGGAGAATGGGAAATTGTACCGGATCTACCCTAAATGATATCCACGTTAGTCTGGGTGATGTTTGGTCATTTCACGGCTCTTATGGCTTCAGCAAGATTCAGCAAATGTTCAATGCCTAGTATGTCCTAGGCATTGGGGGAAGTGTGAAGATAAATAAGATTTGGTTTCTTGCAATCTAACAGAGGCAAGAAAATGTTTATACAGATAACTGTAATAAAATTTAGAACATACTAAGTGTATGAGATGGTGCTGTGAGTTTTGGGGAAGAAAGATGATTCTGATTTGGGAGATTAGGGAAGTCTTCAAAGAGGAGGTGACATTTGACCTGGGTGAGATTTAGGGAGGCCCTCCCAGCTTGAGGTCAACACACAGGAAGTATGTCTGGAGGGTGGAGAGTGCAAGTCAGCTAGAGCATCAAGTTGATGACAGGAATTAATGTGGCATAAACTTAGAAGGGCTGGTTAGAACCAGATTATGAAGACCTTGAATCCCAGATAAGGAGTTTGGACTTCATTAGGTGGGCAGTCGGGAACCTTGAAAGGTCTTTTGAGCAATGGAGTAGCATTATTAGAGTTGTGATTAATCTGGCAGAAATATGTAGGATAGATTTCATGTGAGAGAGACTAGAAGTGGGCAAACTTGTAATGAGGTGATTGCAGTAGTTAAGGTGAGATGTCACGAGCATTTGAACTATGGTGGTGACAGAGAGAGAATGGTTAGGAGTGGATGGTTCTGAGAGATTTCAGTGATAGAATTGAACTTGACAATTGATTGCCTATGGAGAAAGAGAGAAGAGCTAAAGCTGATTCTGAGGTTATGATACTCTTTCCATTTGTCTTCTTGAATTATATCCCCCTTATCTTTAAATCTCTCTCTTCCTTAGGTAGCCTGGGTTTCCTGCAGCCCTTGCTACTTCCTGTCCTACAACTATCCATCTCTGTGAATTTAGTGCTACTTTTATTAGTTGTTCAAGCAGCTGTCCACCTTCTAATCCCACTAACCAACAATAGATTGAAACCTTTTTTCATCTGGGAGAGAAATAGTAGTGGGAGAATGGTGGGAAAACAGGACTCTGTTCCTCTGACAACTGAATTTCTGATCACATCATGAAAGTGATGGTAACACTTCTTATTATGGGAATTTGAGTTTCAGAGAATTTCTGTTCTCTGCTTCTAGCTAGGAATGCTTTCTGTGCTAATGGTGTTGTTTTTTGTTTTACAGGATGAATCAGGTGCAGAGAAAGAGAATGCCTCTGTTCTACAGCAGAACACTTCCTTGTCAGGGAGCCGGACTGGGGAGGAGAATCTTATTGATAACCCTTATCTTCGGCCTGTCAAGAAACCCAAGATCCGTAGGAAGAAGTGAAGTAGAAGACAATGAGGGCATTCCATTCTGAGTTTGTCTTCTTGACAGCAGGGAAGAAATGAGTAATTCACCATTAAGCTTAGGCCTAGAAAGAGTCTCCCTGAGCTTAGCAGGTATTTTCCTTGTTTCTCTCTTTCTGAACACCCACTCTTTCACTTTGAGGTATCTTAGAATGAAGCTGTCTCAACTTTTGAGATGAGATGACATTATCATAGCCATGAGATTAACCCTTCCTCCAGTAGAAATAATGTCTAGTGTGCAGTTGACCAGAGGTCTCCCATGGCCCTCTGGGCCACCTAGGACTTCTCTTCTGGTCCCTCTTTTCAGATGACAGTTAAAAAAAAACCCCTGAATTGCAAAGGGAAGCATTTACCCATTTCCATTCCCATTTAAAGGTGCCCCTGAAGGAGAAGGCTGGGTGGCCAAACTGGAATCTAATATTTTGTTGGGTCTTTGACTTCAGAGAAACAAGTGTTCAACTAACAGTGTCTTTCTTAGACTGTACTGTGGGACACAGGGAAATTTAGTGATTTCTTTCCTGTCGTAGGCTTTTATTCTGATTGAAACTTCTAGGCAGCTGTATTCCAGATGACCCTTTTATTGGTTCACCAGCAATTCTGACACTGGCCCCCAGGACAGAGCCTCATTCTGTGGCCGGTGAAGCCCTGAGAGCATGCCCAGGCCAAAGTAGCTCAGTGACTTGTTTGAATTACTTTTCTGCTTTGAGCCTGGCACACTTAATGAGCCATTGCTTCTTTTTCCAGGACAGAAGGTGAAACTTTGTTCCCTTGCCCTGTGGTCTCTGCCCCCTGACCAGGAGACAATAATTTAACATTTATTGAACTTCTGAGGAAGCTAGACTAGAATATCCCAGGCTCTTCCTTTTATGTTGACCAGAAAACAGGTTCTTAAAGAAAATTTTGTATAAGCTGCTATATATATTCTTGCCTAGGATTAATGCAAAATGATTTGAAAAAAAAATGCCAAATGAAAATTACAGGAGGGTCACAAATATTTTAAATGAAAGAGAAATAAGGAATCTCCTATAAGGTATTTTGCCAATCTTGAAATCCTTTTGGAAAGAAAATCTGATTCCATAATAACTCTTTATTCTCTCCTTCCCACTGCAACCCTGCCTCTATACTTCCTTTCCCCAATAAATAAAACTCTTTGGCCTGATAGTGCTACCCATGAACTTCCTGACTAGCTATTTTGATGGAGAGATTCTTTCTTAAGGGAAGAGAGCTGTTTATTTGGAATTGAAGAGAAATCTGCCAATTGGAGTGTGTTAGGAGAGAAAATGTCATATTCTGATGCCAGCTTTCAAGGCCTGTCTATAGTTAGCTAAAGTTGTAATACCCGTTTCGCTGAGAACACTTGAAAACTTTTTTCACAGACCAGTAGGCCTAGCTTTGTGAATCTTGGGTTCTTTTCGGCCCTTAGAGAAATGTAGTGTGGTGAGTAGAGGAAAAGTTCCCATTTTGGAGGTGAGCACTATAGAAGGTGATAGGACAGAATCGTTTACAGTCCTTTTCTGTAGCTAGCAACTACAATGAGCACTTTGGGGTGGTAACTGTGCTGTGTGTGCAGTCTTACTACTGTACTTGTGCATCACTGATGCCAAAAAGCATTTACCAGCACCTACTTGGAGGAGATATTCGTTAAGTGGAGCTTCTTGTTACTTCGCCAAGAAGAGCCACTGTTGCTGAAATACCATGTTCTGAGCTTTGCTGAGCAAAATAGGCCCATGTGAGAGAATCTGGGGGTGGGCCATTCACATTTCACCCCGACAGAAGGCTTGTTCGTGTATCATGTTGATCCTGACTCTCTGCTGTTATGTAAAAATTGTACATGTACCCAGACACTTATTTACAAGTTTCTATTTTTAAAAATTTGGGTGAGGTTTTTTGAAGGATATGTGGCCAAAACCAAATGAAAACTGTTACCTGTATGTGCATAATAAAAATCTGTGATGTAGATAGAATGGAATCACAGAGTGATAGCATTGACTTATCATCAGGAATTACTGTGTTGACCATATGTATTTGTGCACTATAGCTCACAATTACCTTTTCCACCACCCTCCTCTCTCTTTCCTCCAATGCTTTTTATTAGTTAGTTTAGGTTTTTGTTGATTTTTCTATTTTCTCTATGTTAGTTAAAGTTATCTTCCTATGGGAATGATTTAGCCTTTTGGACATATTCGGTAAGCTTAATTCCTTTGCAGACTAGAGACTATAAATTCTTTGGGTACCATAATCAATTGGTACCATGATGTATTAAGTGATTTTATGTTGAAAATTATACAATGGTGGACTAGAATCCATTTCTCCCAGGGTCTTAGGATAAGTCTGTACAGTTTATTGAAAGAATAATGGGATAGGTTATGGACATGGAAGCCAACATACTGTTCTGGCAGGGAGGGAATCCAGCATCCTGTTCTGACATGGAGAAGGAGGTCCTTTGTGCCTGTCTTTTCATCTTGCTCAGAGAAATCACTGAACATTTTCATTTCACATGGGAGAAGAGCCCACCCCATGCCTAACCAGCAGTCTCCATAATCTCTTCAATAGGGACTCATTACAACTGTTACTTAGAGGCTGCTAATAGTGGGAACCACTATCTCCTCCTAAGGTAGCCCATTCCACTTTTGGCCATCTCTAATTGTTAGGAAGTTTTTCTTTATGTCAAATCTAAATGTGCCTCTTTGCACCTTCTGCCTGTTTCTCCTGATTCTTTCCCCTGTGGCCAGTTTGTTGTTCAGTCATTTTTCAGTCATGTCTGACTCTTCATGACCCCATTTGGGGTTTTCTTGGCAAAGGTAGTAGAATGGTTTGCCATTGTCCAGGTCATTTTACAGATGAGGAAACTGAGGCAAACAGGGTTACATGACATGCCAAGGATCACACAGCTAGTAAATTTCTGAGGCCGGGTTTGAACCTGGGAAGATGAGTCTTTCTGAATCCAGACCTTGCTCTCTACTGTGTCACCTAGCTGCCTTGGCCAAGTAGGATAAGTCTAATATCCATTAATTCAACAAACATTTAAGTGTCTACTGTAATTAGAGTACTGAAATCAATAGTGCCAGTTCAGTGCTAGACTTTTAAGAAAGGTGTTTTGTGGAAGAACAGAAATGAGTTGATTTTTGTTGAAAGACAGTAAATTTCCAATTATGTGCATTGTCGGGGAAAGAGTATACAGACAATTCTTGCTTTATATAAATTCACATTATGCAAACTTGACTTTATGTAAATAATTCTGAAAGAAATCTGCGTTCCAAAGAAAAAAACTGTTAACTTTACTGTACGCTACTGTGCTCTCTCTCCACTCCTGTCCCTCAGCTCAGTGCTCCACAACCTCTCCCTCCCCCCCCCAAAATTAAACCCTCCAATTGAAAACAGAATGGATGTGCAGATAGACCTCTACTGCCAGTGCCAGACTGGGGGCTTGGCTTGAGACCTCTGGTGCTGAGAGATAGGAGACTTTGTCCCACTCTGCCCACCTGCCCGCATGTCCAGACTGCATATCTGTCTTCCATCTGCACTCAGGCACTGTATGTCTGTCCCTGGCACCTGCTTGTTGCCTGTCCTTTCCTGTCTGTGTCCATGTCTGGCCCCCAGGTGTCCCCTCTTTGCATATTCTTACTCTTGCTTCTAGGCAGACCCTCCTTATAACTGGCCTCAGCCCTAAATGTCCCTCCTCCTGCTCTCATTTCTCTTTCTCCAGCCCTTATGTGTCCCTTGAACTACGTGGCAGCTCCCTGCCCCTGTGGGCACACAGCTGCCTTCCTGCCTCCTTCCTTCCCTCCCTTCCCGATGTTTATGGGCAAATTCATATTGCATAAAAATCACTTTACCTGGAGGTCTGCAGAATAATCCACTTAACAGAAAGTGAGAACTGTCTGTATAGATTGCCAGGAGCGCCTGTGTCCCTGGCTGTGGTCTGATGCCGCAGAGTGTGAAGAGAGAAAGAATCACGGGCCAGGTGAGAGCAGTGAAGAACAAACTCTGTTTATTGATCTGAGGGCTCAGGCTTATAGAGTACTGGATCAAGCAATAGTAACATTGTTATTCATGAAAAGTACAAATCTAATTAGGTGATTTCCTTACTTCCTTGTACCTTGTCTGTTACATTCTTTCCTGCATCCTGTCCTGTACCCCATCCATTTCCTCCCTTCCTGCATCCTGTTCTCAGGACTCAGAACAGGGGGGTGGTGAGCCAACATCCTGAGTTTCATAGCTGTCAGGCTTAGTACAAGCTGCAGGTAAGACCCGGGCTGGCCTAAGCCCTCCAGCTCCCCAAAGCCGGCCCTCTACAATAGATTATCTAAAAAGATAAATAGATGAGAGCATTTATTAAGTGCTTACTATATGCTTGGCACAAAATGAAACAATCTCTGCCCTCAAGGAGCTTACATTCTACTGGATGTAATTCATTGTTTTATTTGAACACTTTATAGATCTGTGATTTCATTTGTGGGTATCTCCTCTGCTGAGAATCTCAGCACATCTTAGTATATGAGATTCCTGAGTTGCATTAAACAAAAAAACAACTAGCTGATAGCCCACTTTCTGGTAATAAGCCATCCATTCTAGATTTTTTTTCTTTCTAACAACTGAGTTATTTTCCTAATTCTGTTATATTCAGACTGATAGGGAAATTAGTTTTTATTCCTTGAACACAGATTGGCTGGTAGCGATGGGTAGTAGGAGCCCAAGTTCAGGCAAAGGTGAGTGTAAAGATGGTTAGTACAGCTGACTTGAGAGTTAAGAAAGGCAGCTATGATTTAATGGAAAGAGCCCTGGACTTTGATACTTACTGTGTGACCTTAGGCAAATCAGTTACCCTCTCTGAACTTCAGCTGAAAAAATGGGGATGGTAATATTTAAAACACTTAACTCCTAGGGTTAGAAAAGTGCATTATGGGCAGCTAGGTGGCACAGTGAATAGAGCTTTGGCCTTGGAATCAGGAGGACCTGAGTTCAAATCCAGCCTGAGACACCTAACACTTACTAGCTGTGTGACCTTGGGCAAGTCACTTAACACTGATTGCCTCAACAAAAAAAAAAAGAAAAAGAGAAAAGTGCATTGTAAATTGTAAAGCATTATATAAAATGAGTTATTATAATATCACTCTCAGAAATAAATTCTAACTATACAAGTTAATCTTGAGTCTCTAAGGCCCCCTGTAAAGATCTCTTTTCTTGCTAACTCTTTCTTACTGTTACCCTGATTTGCTATTTTAGGTGCAATCAGTGCTAAAGAGGATTAAGTCATGTCCATGGTAAAAGTGTGGTGCAGTGGAAAGAGGACTGAGGTCAAACCCCACCTTACTCTTTGTCAGATGTGTGCTTTTGGACAAATCACTTCCATTTTCTCTGTCTAAGTTTCTTCATTTTTAAGTAAGGGCATTAGATTAGTTTTAAAATCACAGATTTAGAGCTCCACAAGTCATTTAATCCCCTCATTTCACAGATGAGGAAATTGAAATCTTAAGAAATAGCATCCCCAAGTAATATTTTTAGATTCCCTCTAGCTTTTAAATCTTGTTAAATCCTTCAGAAAAATCACTAAATAAATAAAATGAAAGCAATTCCAGAGGAAAAGAAATAGTTCATCGATAATTACACCTAGAGTCTCACAAAAGAGATTGTAACAGCAACAAGAAAGCTGATGAAAAATTTAGCAAAATAATTACATTTTGAGAGAGAATCAGTGATTTGGAAAAAATAGAATATTTAAAATATATTCAAGATATCCTGGAAAAAAAAGGATGGAAGAAGTGGAACTTGAAAATATTGAGGTTCAACAAGAAATAATAGAGCAGAGAAAAGACAGCAAAATTGGAAGAACAGATGAGTCTCAAAGCACCTAATCTTAAAGACAGCTCCTGAAAGGGCAATCTAAGAAGCACTGGTCTCCCAGAATAGTGTGATAAAACAAAAAGTTTGACGAGCATACTCTGATAAAGCATACATGAAAAACTATTCAGATATGTTGAAACTGAAGAGCAAAGTAGAGTTTAATGGAATTCCATGGGCATTAATTGAAAGGAATCCCAGCTTTAACTCACCCAGAAATGTAGTTGCCAGGCTCTTGCACTTCAAGATCAAAGAAAAATAATCTTGCAGGAAGCTAGGAGAAGATAGCCCATTTATTAAAGGACAGAATCAGAACCACCCAAGATTATAAGAGAAAAAAAAAGTGGATATAATGCAATGAAAAATAACAGGGAAAACCTCTGAGCCCAGGGATATCTTATTTCAAAACTGGACATAATCCTACAGGAGGAAAAATAAATTTTCATAGAATTAGCTAAATTGTATTCTGTTGTCTCGTTAGAATATTTTTTTTTGTTTCTATGATCTCATTACTTAGGATAACATAGAATCTCCTTTTAAGTGTTTCTTTTGTTCACATTTCCTCTTATCAATTCCAATTTGTATTGTTACAGTCTCTAAAGAATGAGCTTAACATTTCTACTCTTCTGCATTTTGAGCACATTTCTGATCTGATTCCCTGATTCATCAAGAACTCTTTGTCCAGAAGCCTAGTCCCCAGAGCCTGAGAGAGTCTGGAACGGTGGGACAGGGGAATAGTGTAAGAGCTAAGAGACTGAGCTGCCTTTGGGGAAGCAATGAAGACACTGGCCTTTGGCAAAGAAAGTGCAAGTAATACTAAATACCCTCTTAAGTAGCCATTCATCCAGTGGACTGAGAGTAAAGCCATCTGGTGGCCAAACGATATACTATATTGCCACCCTGTTTAATTAAATGACATCCTGATTCTCTGAGGACTGCAGAAAGGAAAATGAGTCAGGTTATAGCTTCTGCAGCACCACCAAGTATACACTTAGCACCCACCAGTCATCACAAATACAACCACAAAGTAATATTTTCAGAAATGAAGGAAGGCCTAAATAAGTTTGTTATTCTCTTCAAGAACTAGATTACTCAGGGGCAGCTAGGTGATGCAGAAGATAGAGCACC